TCCCTTCTTTCTTTCCCCCCTCCCTTTTTTACCTTCTCATGTGAACATTTTTGTCTTTTTTCCAATACCTATTATGTGTTTTGGTCCTTATTTACACTTGCGGTTTCTCACACCAGAGAAACCATGTGATACTTACACACATGTCTGGTGTATATCACTTAAAAGATTACAGTCTCAAGGTGCACCATTGAGCTAAAATGGCTCAGCCATACCCTTGATGGCAGGGTAGTACTCCATTGTATAAAAAAACAGTCTTGTTTATTCATTCATGGGTTGATGGGCATTTGGGCTGTTGCCACAATTTAGCTATTACAGACTGTGCTGCTGTAAACATGAGTGTGCAAAAATCACTGTGCTACGATACTTTTATTTATTTTGTATTTAATACAGGGTCTACAGGGTCTCACTATGTAGATCGGACTCATAGCAATCCTCCTGTTTTCAGCCTCCCAAGCACTGGGTTTACAGGTGCATGTGCCACAGCATGCCCAGTCTCAGTTGCAGTCTCAGTGCACACCGGGGCCAGGGCTGGGGCTGGCATGGCAAGCCGGGATTGAACCTCCATCCCCTGCATCTGCCTAAGCAGGTGCTTTAATCTGCTGAGCTACCTAACTGGCACCTTTTGTAAAAAGGCTGACACCTTTTTGGAAAGTGTCAAGAAGGAAATAGGGGGTTGGATGCACCCTTTTAGTTTTTTGAGGAATCTCCACGATGATTCCACAATTGTTGCACCAGGCTACACTCCCACCAATAGTGGAGGAGTTCTTTATCTCCCACACTCCCCTGCTTTTGTTATTGGTTGATTTCTTGATGATAGCCATTCTTTCTGGATTGAGATACAATCTGTATTTTTGAAATTCACATCTCTTGAATGACCAGTGATGTTGAACATTTTTCATATATTTATTTGCTATTTCTACTTCATCTGAGAAATATCTGTTCATTTTAGATGCCCATTTGTGGACTGGGTCTTTAAATCTGGGGGCTTTGATTTTTTTTTTTTTTTTTTTTTTTGTGGAACCGGGGATTGAACTCAGGCCCTTGCGCTTGCCAGGGAAGCACTTATTCCACTGATCCATCTCCCTGCCCCCCCTTTTTTTAGTTCTTTATATATTCTAGATGTTAGTCCTTTGTTTGAGGAGCAACTGGCAAAAAATTTTTCCTACACTATGGGTTATCTTTTCACTCTGTTGGTGGTTTCTCCAGCTGTGCAAAAGCTTTTTAACAAGGTAAGATCCCAGCTGATAGTTTGTGATAAGTTCTGTGCTACTAATCCTGGGATTTTAGTCTTGCATTTTCTGTGGTTTACAGAAATATGAAGAAAAAACCCACCACAACTAGTTCCTCAAATAATCACATTTCATAGACAGGAAACAAAATTAAAGATACTTGTACCTTATCCCCAAATACCAAAAATAGTAACAGAATAATTGTAAAAATGAATGTGATTACATGAATGATTGTTTTTCTTTTTTTTTTTAATTGGGAAAAAAGTATATATTTAGAATTAGCCAGCTGGACTCAGTTAGATGATCTCAATTTTGTTGGCAACATACAATACATCATAATCAGGAGCCAGTTGAACATATGCCTTCCTTTCTTCTCTCCATCAGGCCTGATTAGGGTATTGACCTTGGCAACATCGATGTCACACAACTTCTTTACTGCTTGTTTGATTTGGTGCTTATTTGCTTTGAAATCCACACTGAACACAAGTGTGTTGTCCCTGATCTTTATCATGGCTGACTTTGTGGGCAGGGGGAACTTGAGATATAGTGGTCAAGCTTGTTTCTCTTGGGGGGGCTCTTCCAAGGGTGTTTGGGCTGCTTCTGGAGCTGCAGTGTCTTGGGATGGTGGAAGGTGGGTGACGTTCATATCTTCTTTTTGTGGCTGTGGATGCCTTTCAGCCCGGCCTTCTTGGGCTTCAAGGTTTTTCTTTGGTTTCAGGCTTGGAAGGGGCCTCCTTTGCCTTCAGTGCCATCTTGGTAAAAAGCTGTTTTTCTTCTTGGATCAGGCTTTAATCAAATTACATTTCTACAGTAATATTTTTAAATAGAAATATTATTAGTGATATAACTAAAATTTTTGTAAAGTTTAGGTATAATAAAAAAATGCCACTTAAAATGTTAGTCTTTGTTTCTGAAACCTGATAATAAGCTGTGCCTTTTATTGTATTTGAAAGGTTGCTGTATGCTCGAGACACAGCTCTTGCATCCGAGCTTGGTGTTCATCCTGGTGAAAGTGGTGTGTGCAAAGGTGAGAAGAGTCTCTGTATTATTTTATTAAATTGTTATTTTTATTGGTACTTACTTGCAGTACATAGTGATTACATTCTTCATGGGAAGTTGGTACATGTACATAACACCTTAATTTTTTTTAATGTCCCTATCCCTTCCATATAAATGCCTTTCTTCATAATTGGTATCATTCTATACATATTTCTTTCTTTGATTGTATTGTGTTAGTGTACTTTTTTATAAAAATAAAATATTTAATTTTTTCATTTTAAATAAGTTTATTTAAACAATATTATTTGACTTAGGGCCAGCCAAATAGCTCAGTGGATTAAAGCACCAGCAAACAGGCACAGGGGCCGGGCGTTCGATCCCTGGCCTGTTGTGCTGGCCCCACCCCTGGGACATGCTGAGACAGCAATTGAGACCGGGCATGGTGGCGCACACCTGTAATCCCAGCTCTTGGGAGGCTGTAAACAGGCAGATAACTACAAGTCCGATCTAGTAGTGAGACCCTGAACACCCTGTAGACCCTTCCCTAAAATACAAAAAAAAAAAAAACCCAAAAAGAACACATCTGACTTGAGAGCTAGTATTTAAAAAATAATTTAGCGCTGCTTAATGACAGATTGCTGTATACATAATAACTACATACAAAAATGTTACACTATTCTTGGCTTTATAATGACAAATGAAAAACATTGAAGTTTTCCATCAAACAAGTGTGCAAGAATTTTTATGGGTTTTTTTCCTAAAGTGGTGAAAACAGAGTAACTTACTAAAATAGAAAAGTGAAATGAGCCTGCCACTAATTTAGGAAGAGAGGATTTATACAGAAAAGAGGGTTTTTTTCCCATGCCATCTGCACTGGTTAGGGTAGAGTTTCAACTTAATTGATGGGCTTTGGGATCCACCCATGTCAAAATTGGTAGAACAGGCTTCTTGGCATGTCTGGGTGAGTCATAGAGGCATTACTTTTAGGTCTGTGCCTGATTCTTCAGTGGGTTGCCTATTGATGAGGTTATAGATGAATGGGCTCTTAGCAAGTGGGGTGCAGCTGAGGATGTAAGTCTTGAAGCTCATGACCTTAGTGTCAGTATTTAGTCACTGACCCTTCTACTCTGGTACACTTCCCCGGTCTGCTTCTCAGCCACAGTACACTAAGCAGCTTTGCTCTGCCTCACCCTTTGGCACTGATATCTCTTGTCTCTGAGCCAACCAACTGTAGACTGAAACCATGAGCAAATTAAATCTTTCATACTTTAAATTGTAGGTGTTGGGTATTGTATCTCAGTGATGAAAAAGGTAATACCAAAAATTGGTACCCATAGTGGAATCATTGCTGTGACTGCACTTGATTATGTGGTTTAGAAACCTTTGGATCTAGTTTGCTGGAGGAGTTGGGAAAGGTTCAGAGATATGAGCTAGAGAAGCCAACAGTGTTAAATAGAGTGTGACAGGTGATTCTGATCAGAGATTAGAACACAAGAATTCAGATGGGAATGTGAACAGTAAAAGCCAGACTCAGGCAGTTTCAGTTAGGAACAAGGACTCCACTAGCAATTGGATTAGAGGCCATGCATATTACACTGTGGCACAAAATTTGTCTACATTTCCCCATGTTCTGAGACTTTGTAGGAGACTGAGGTTAAGAGCAGTGGACTAATTAACCAGTGATGAAATATCAAGTTTAATATTTAAGCTGTGGTGTAAGTACTGCTGGCTGCTTTTATCCAGATTTGTAGTGAGCATCAGGGTAAAAAAGCAGTGGTAAAAAAAAATGAAATACACTTTTGGTTCAGAAGAAACTGTGTATAAATGTGGGACCAAAGGAAGTACGGCTGCTGAAGAGATTAGTACTACTAAAAAGAAACCAATATGATGTAGAGGTACAAGACAGGTACCGTGAGTGTATCTCAGGAATCAAAAAGACTTTGCATATTGCAGGGTCAAGGATGTAAAAGTGTCCAGCTTTCTTAAGAGGAAAGGGGATGCCTGCTCAAGATGGATATCATAGGTAATGGTTCCCTGGGATTCATTTCACTGAGTTCAGTCCTCCAAGCCCTCAGAGGCCCTGGCAGCCGTGGTCCAAAAGGACCTGAATACTGTTACAGCTTAATAGTGGACCTTGTCATGGTCCGCGTGATGTTGATAAGATATGAAGATTAGAAAGAGCTGCCATCATCCCTTGCTTATTTTGCTACTTTCTTCCTGCCACAAATTGTTTCTTCTCTGCAATGCCTGTCTGCTGTGTTGCCCTTCCTCAGAGCCAGCCAATTATGGACTGAAACCTCTACTAACTCAGCTAAATGAATCATTCCTCTATTAAATTGTGGGTATTGGGTATTTTTATTCAGCAACAAAAGGAAACAAACTAGAAGAGAATTTGGTACTAGAGAAGTGGAGTCGTTGTGACTACCTGACCATGTGGTTTAAGAACCTTAGGAACTGGCTTGTGGGAAAGGGAAGAGTTAGGAAAGGTTTGGAGATGTGGGCTGAAAAAGTAGAGTTGGAATGCTTAAGACTGTGATTGATGGAAGGTTCTCGTGAGAGCTCAGAAGATCAGCAGGCTGATAGAAATCTGCTGGCAAAGACCAGGTTCAGGAGATTTCTTCTAGGAGGAAGGACTGCATTTGTTGTTGGGTTCCAGATGATGTTTGTGATGCCTTGATAGAATGTTTGTCTGCATTTTGTCCTTGTCCATAGACTGAGATTAAGGCCAGTGGAGTATTTGGCAGAAGAAATTTCAAAGCAGTCTAATTTTGAGGCAGTTAGACTTCTGTTCAGGGTTTTTACCCAAATTTATGTTGGGAATCAGAGCAAAGAGACCTGTAGAATGATTTAAAAGCTTTTGAGTTGGTTGGGAAGAAAGTTGGGATAAAGCTATGGACCATAAAGATACAGCTGAGGAGATGTTGATTGCTGAGAAGGAACAGGAAATAGAAAAGATGGTCTAAGGGCCACACAAGAAGTAGGAGAACTCCACCATTTGCAGTCTCAAAATTGCAAAGTGAATGACTGCTTTTTTTATTATTACTACTTTTTAAATTTTTTTAAAGACTGCTTTGAAAGAGGCCCAGAGACAGATTAGGGAAGTTGTTCCTTGGGATTTGGTTCGTAGGTACTGTAGTGGATTTCTAACTGGTGGTCAGCTTATTATACCCTGAGAAATTAAACTAGTGTGGTACTAGGTGTGGGAAGCCCACCTGAGGATTGTTGCCAGCAGCATAAAGACAGAACAGGAGAAGCTGCCAAAATGCTGTTAGGGCTGCTGTTTGGAGAGCTGTTGGAAGCTGCTAGTTCTCTTGGGCTGCTCTCCTGGAGGACCTTGTCATGCTGGCTTTACTGATGAACTTTGGAGAAGCTTGGCTCCTCATCTTGAGCATCTCTTTCTGGCTCTGGAAGGGAAGATGGTGCACTGCTCAGCCTAATGGAGAAGCTTGTCACATTGGCTTTCCTCATGGGAAGCCGGCTTTCTTCATCACTGGAGGAGCTTGGGACCTCACTGTTGCTGAGGATGGCTATGGTACTTTGGGGGAGCTCTGGTGTTTACCTTGAACATTGCTTCTTAGCTCCACTTCAGATCCCTCAGTCTACTAGCAGAGATTCTTCATCCCACTGGCATCAACTTCCTATCTTCCACCACTGACCTTTGGGTCTTTGCAGCACAGATCCATGAAGCAGACATGCATGAGACTTCGTTGTGGGCTCTAGGCCTCCAGTTGGACTACTGGGAGGCATTGTTACAAGCTCTAGGTTTTCAGCTGGACTCATGTAGGATATTAGGATTTAGGCCTTCAGCTGGATTCTTTAGTGTTTAGTGTGTGGATAGATTTCCTGCACTTCTTATATATGATTCTTGGGTGATTCGTTATAAAATAGATTATAAAATGTGTCCTGTATTATGTTGTTCCCCTTGCAAGAACCCCAAGCCATGCCAGGTACTCTACCCTTACAGCCAAGAGAGAAGGAATCCTGGCTACTGCTTCAGGTTGTGGCAGACCTTGTATCATCCACATGGTACTAGTTTAAGGTGCATGCCAAATCCAAGAGTTGTGGAGTCAGAAGGTTTTCACCCAGGCTTAAGAAGAAGGCCTAGGAGGCCAGGCAGTGTACCCCAAAGAATACAGTGTGTGAAGCTGTTAGTGTGAAGCTAAAGATGCAGTGTAGCTCCCAGAAGTTTGGAGAAGTTAGCAATCTGGATTGTCTAAGGAAAACTGCAATGAGGAGCAGAGTGGGCCCAAGACAGAAGCCATTGGAGCTACAGATGCTGACAGTGCCATAGGGTGTAGCCACCCAAGCCCTTTGGAGTTCACAGCCTGCCACAGATTGCTGAGAACGATGGAAGTGGAACTTTGGGATTTAATGTTTGCCATACTGGATTTTGGTCTTGGTTTGTACCCTTCCTTGTTCTCCCCATTTGTAATTTTGTGAATGGAAATGTCTGTTTTATGCCTTTAATGTTGAAATATGTAATTTTCTTTTCATTAGTATAGGGGCTACCAGCTAAGTAAGAGTTTGCCTTTAATCTCAGAGAAGACTTTGGGCTTGGACTTTTTGGCAGTGTTGAAACTGTTATGGCTTAGAGTTGTATTTTTTTTGTACAGGGTCTCACTATGCAGATCAGACTCATCTGATCCTCCTGTTTTCAGCCTCCCCGTCTCAGTGGCTGGCTCAGTGCGCCTGGGGGCCAGGCCAGTGGGCATGTGGTACTAAGGATTGAACCCTTGTCCCTGCGCTTGCCTAGGCAGAGAGCAGCTAAATATCTTTTACATAAATAGATGTACGTGAATCTTTGGGGAGCCAGGGGTACAATGTTATGGCTTACATTTTTTTAAAGATACAGGGTCTTGCTCCACAGTTCAGACTCTAGTAATCCTCCCATAATCAGCCTCCCTGGTGCTAGGATTACATGTGTGTACCACCATGTCCAGTTTCATGGCCAACATGGGGCCTCTGGGATTCTGGGGCCAGCAGTGCATGCAGTACTGGGGATTAAATTTACAGCCTTGCACTTGCAAGGAGGGCACTTATTCCATCTCGCTATCTTCCCAGCCCATGGCTTATGTTTTGAAGTATCCCCAAATCCTCAAGCAGTCATAGGTAGGAATTCAGAGGGAGGGCTTTTTTTTTTTTTTTTTTTTTCTTTTTCTATAATTTTATTGAGAAATAAATAGTAATGAGACAGTTTCAAGTCAAATTGGTAGGACAGTTCCAATAATTAACACATTGCATACTGCCTTCCTAGTGGTTGTTTGTTGTACAAGATGCAGAAATGATATCCTGTTTACAAACACTATTAGAACAAATCCCTCTATTCCTTGAATTAAGAGAATGTAGCTATATATCTATCCTAACCATTTTGAATAAACAGATACAAAATGGAAATTCATTTGTATCTCCTTTTTTTGTTTAGTTCCATTATTTAAATATTATAGGTGTGTTAACTCAGCAAAATATTCTATAAGATTCCAGTAGTCCATAATAGTATTGGGTCTTCCACTTGACTGGCAATGTCAGAAGATGTTGACCTGAGTTCCCTACAACTCAACAACGTGGCTTTATTTCTTGTACTTTGTTTTTATACTTTTCTGCTGGATGGTTAAGACCAAGATAAAGCAAGACTTATGTAACAAGAATTGTAGCTTTTGGATCCAATAAGGTCAGTGAAATCCCCTCAGGATTTATCCTGAGACCCTGTATCTCAGTTTGTAGATCCTTTGTCAACCATGTGGATGAGTCACGGCCATTGCTTGGCCAGTGTGCTCTCTGTGAAAGCTTGAGAGAATGTTTTCTCTCCATGTGACTCTCCTTAGGCACACCCTACATCATCGATCACTTACCTCTTTGGCCCCATAATCTCCTTAATCAGAAAATTTGGGACACAACTGAGTTACATGATGTTACAGTACAATTTCTCATCTGTCCTCTTAATTGACCTTGGAAGGCTAGGGCCAGAATGTTGGCTTTCCTTGGGGCCCTAGACTGAGGGCTTTTTCAGAGTATGTGATGCTGGGATTGATTCATGGTGCAATGCTAGGCTCAAGAAAGCTAGGATTAAGAGTGTGAGTGCTACCTACTCTTAGTAGTCTGTATAGGATATAAGAGTTGTTTAGAAGGAGCTGTTGTCATCTCTTATTGAGCTACTACTTTCTACCCTCTATGAACTATTTTTCCTATTCCATGCCACCTTTGCCTTGGAGCTATCTGATTATGTACTAAAACCTCTAAACACTGATTTAAATACATCTTTTCTCCCTTGTGAGTATTGGTTATTTTGTCTCAGCAATGAAAAAAGTAACTAGGGTAGTCATGAAGATTTGGCCTTGGTGTGTATGTTTGGTTCCTTGCGCTTTCTGTGCTGGCTCTTGGTCTGCTCTTCTTTTAGGATGCCGTGTATTAAGTAGCTCTGCTCTGCCACACCTTCTGCCATTAGCAAACTTGTGTCTCTGATTGGAGCCAGCCCATCATAATTTGTGTGTGTTGGGTATTATGTCTTAATGATGACAAAGGTGCCTAATGTACCAGCTCCATCTGTTTTTGATCAAAACTCATGCTGGCTGTTTAGTTAAGAAAAACATTATGCATATTTATATCCCTGTTTTTATTTTTAAATATTTATTACTTTTTGAGATAGTATCTATGTAGCCAAGACTAGCCTTAAACTCACAGTGATCCTCCTGATTTAGCCTCCCAAGTGCTAAGATTACTGGTATGTGCCACTATACCTGGCATTTTTTATTTTGAGACACAGAAGTTGCCCAGGCTGGGCTTCAACTTCCCTCCTTCTGTCTCAGCCTTCCACAGTTCTGGGATTATAGGCATGCACCCCCACACCCAGCCAGATTGTTGCTTTTTAAATGGAATGTACTTTTTTTTTTGGGGGGGGGGCGGAACTGGGGATTGAACTCAGGCCCTTGTGCTTGCCAGGGAAGTGCTTATTCCACTGAGCCATCTTTCCAGCCCTGGAATGTACTCTTTAGTCTGTAAGGATAATGTTCTATAGTAAAGTAGCAAGTTTTATTTTAAATAAACATTTCCTGTCTACTACTGGTGTTGAGTTGTATCTTCATCCTCCACTTGTACCAGTTCAGATGTGTCTCTTCCATTGATTAGCTGCTTAAATGGCAACCCTATTCATGATAGGCTTTCATGAATGTACTAGGTCATGTATACCTCTTCACTTTACGCTGCAACA